ATATCAAAGAATCTGCCTTCTAATCTCGTATCCCTACACTCCTATTATTCCTTCTTTTTGTCGCTCAGTACACTATCTGCTGACGACATCAGACCAGAAACTAGATGTGCTGGCATTCGACTACGTTATCAGAGCCATGTCCCTACAGAACAACTGGAAGGGTGCTATGTCTGTCTTCCGTGAAATGGCCCGTCCCAATGCACCTCTCCCCACAACCAGGACCGTCCAGGCTGTGGTGGATGTGTGCTTGCGCTCACGGGCTCTGGTGTCATCCGGTGTGCTCTTGAGCGAGGCCGATAAACTAGACAGTCTAGACGTCTCCAGAGCAGACGTAACCATGGTTACCATGGCAGGAGGTCATGCTGGTGTCCAACCTTCCAGGCTTTTGGAAGACCCTGACTTGTATGATGCTACCCAGTCACAAGATAAAGCAACAGACGTAACAAAGACCGATGCTGAGATAAAAACCCAGGCAGAGATTGATAGAGTGGGTGAGGGCGAACTCTCAAGCTCTGAGGCCGTCGCTGTACTGTTAGAAGACTCTGACCTGTACGCTACTCAACCACAGGATAAGACGATAGACGCCCACGAGTCTGGGCACGACTCAGTCTCTAGCACACAGCCAGGCAGTCCAGTGGAAACACCGGGTGTAGTGACAGTCGGGACAGACGGGAAGACTCCAGGGTCATCTGCAACACACCCCCAGGCACAGACCCAACAGGCGCAAGCGACTACAAATCCGCCTGCGACGCTAACGTTCAAGAAACTCCAGGAAGCGCATACACAAACGAACCCGGAGAGTGTAGTCCTGGACGAACGGGAGGATGCCGTATCACTGAGTGCAGAGGACGCCAGTGATGTGGATGAGGCGAGGGATGGTCTGTACGGTGTTGTATCTGTACAGGGTAGGGCACCCAGACAGTTGTCCGGGTTTGTGACCACAATGCGATATAGGCAGTTGACTGTCAGTCAGAGACGGGCGCGCGAGGCCCGCGTCAAATCGCACCCGATGATTACGTATGTGGACGAGAAGGCGGGGCTGTCGCAGGCGGACGAGAGGGACATACGGCGCATGACTGATAGTATACTGGCCAGTATGCGCTTGTGAGATGCATGGATAGACCAGCCGTGTAATGCCTAGTTAGTGTGCGCGAACCAGATGTTCTGGAATAAAGTGGTGGCTGAGGAGAGGAAGAGGATTTGTGCTGAGTTTGATTGTATCTACTGTAAGTTTTTATTTTCGCACAGCAATCGCTTTGTGAAGTGTCTATTGCTGTGCGAGCATTCACGGAAGCGTTCGCGATCTCAACCTTCGTTCGACTCGAAGGTGTCGATATGAAATTGTGTGTATATAAAAGTATGTATATATATATATATATATATGGGTGTGGGTGTGGGTGAGTGGGTGTGGGGGTGGGGGTGTGTGCTTGCGTATGTATACGTGTGTGTGAGTGTGAGAGTGTCGCTCTGTGAGTGTGTACACATTAGTGAGTATACACGCGCTTGTCCAATTATATGGTATTCCTATAAAATGTTTTTGGTATATCAACGTACAAATTTATTTATATATGTTTCTTCTGTATCGATAACCTTTACCAAATTTTGAATATGAAGTAGGCAGAGATATACGTTTATGATTGAGTTTTATTGCGTTGCTGAAGTATATGACAGGCATCTCTAATCAAGATCTGTGGTCGATTCAGCCGCGCAAGCGTTGTTTTTCCTTCGGTAAACAATTGTCGTGGCCCCGATGCGTCCAACCAAGCCAACAATTATGTGAATACGATGGTCAATTGATCATCGTAATCCAACTCATCCGTCTCATCGGCTGTTTTTTTTCTCCAATATGTTCCAGATTCCAGGAATCCAGGAATTGATTTTATTTGTCTATTTTATCATTTGTACATATGTATGGAGCTGAAACCACTTCTTG